TCACGGTGTCCTTCCGCTTCAGCTCCTTGTTTTCTGCCCTTAGCACGCTTATCTCTGCTCGCGCATCCTTATACATGCGTTGGAGCAGAGACAGCTGGGAGTTTAAATGCTGCACTTCATTTGTTCTACTCTGCAGCCGGTTCGACAAGTTTGTGACCCGGGCGGCAGCCTCACCTTGGCCGCCCGCCGGACCTCTACACATACCTTAACTCCGCTGTCACATTTCTTGCTGCCATGGACCATCACTCTCACCTTTGAAATTGGAAGTGTGTTGTGTGTTACCTAGATCAATGCCCTCTTCACAGATTCTTTCTTTTACAGCATCACCACCCTGCTTCTTTCTTTTCACATTTTTGTGCCTTAGACAAATCCAGATCTGCGCCGGCAAGTTGGGAAGCCATCACCATCTGGCATCTGTTTGCTATCATCATGATCTTCACCTGAAGACTCTCTTGGCAGGCCACCCTCAACAGATAATACTTGCACATTCCCACCATAGTTCTTTATGGCTGGTCTCAATATATCAAGATGGCCATTCACCGCCTCTACCGTTGTCTCACTTGTGTGGTCATCATCATACACTTGGCGAATATCCTTGACTGCATCTCCAAATTTTTCCTTCAGTACTCGTTCAATCCCCATTTTCATGGTAGTTGTTGAGCTAGGGCAGCTTCCACATGCTCCTTGGAGTTTGAGAGAGATGACACCGTCTGCGACAGAGACGACGTCGACGTTGCCACCATCGGAGATGAGGTAAGGCCGAACGTCCTCAAGAACCATGTCAACGTTCTGAGGTGTGAGTTCGAAAATCTTGGCCGAGTAGAGTCCCGGAGGAGACCCACTGGCTGAGGCTTTAACTGCCCATTTTTGAGGAACTAATCTGGGTCCTCCTTGGAATGAAACGAAAGATGGAGATTTGTGGGATTTATTCGAGATTTTTTGGGGGGAATGAGAGGGGTCGATTTGGGGAGGACAACCCAGTTGCTGATATTGATGCCATCGTCGTCGAGCTCTTGTGCTGCAGAGAAGAAAGGTAGATTGAAAGGTGCGGGAGGGTTAGTGCCCGTTTGGCATGTGGGTTGGGGTTATGTTAGGGTATGTGGTGAGTCCGGTTCGATTAGGTTTGATTAGGTTCAAACCTGAGCCTAGTTTGGGACCCGAGTATGGGTTTGAACTATCATTTTGAAGTCGGACTCAGCCGCTCTTGGCCGGCCTGTGGTCTTTCTTAGGCCTGAATACGCTTTAAATCTATACTTAATTTTCTGACTTATAGACCTGTTTGATTTAATCTAAATTTTAACCGAAGTCTGTGAGACCCGACATGAGCCGGCCCAAAATCCGAACCCAATGTCATGTGGGCCGGGTTAAATTTACACCCCTATATTAGGACTTTTTAATTATAAAAAGATAAAATAAATTTTTTAAGCTCAGATTGAAAGTTGTTATATATAAACTATAATTTTTTCATTTTTTCTTTTATAAAAGTTAAAAGAGTTAAAAAGTTCATCCTAAACGAACTTATTTTAACCCCAAATTAAAATAGTTAAAAAAATCTAAAGCCAAAAGTCAACTCATATTCCAAATGAAGCTTTGTGATTCATTAATGTTTGGTAAAAGAAAAATGAATAATGTTTGGTGGCCCGAATTATGTGGCTCGAATTCTGTAAAACGACGTCGTTTTACACCCAAAACGACGTCATTTTTGGTGTTTCGAGCCATTTGAGCCATGTATTTTCGGGCCACCAACCATTGCTGAAGAAAAATACTACAAACTACAAAGGTTTCGTTTGGGAACTGTGTTGCTTTTTAATTTTTTGGTTTTTTGGCTGGCCTTATTTGGAAACATTTTATTTTAGTAATTTTTAGCTTTTTACAAAAAAAATGTGTAAAAAATATATGCAATTATGCTGGAAAATGTTATAGGTCGCAAATTGCGGACCTCACACCCATGCGAGACATTTGATTATTTATTTGGTAGAAAATTTTGTATCCTTAACATTATTCCTATTATGCTATGGACTCCAAATAATCTATCAAATTTTCTATCATACATCTCACATAGGTATGGGATCCACACACATGTGAGTTTGTGTGGGCATTACCCATGTGAGAGGTTTGGTAAAAAATTGACAAATTATTTGGGATCTGTAGCATTTTTATTTTAGTCTCAGCTAAAATGTCTCGTTTGGGTAAGACTCTTTGACTTCTGTGAGAGAAAACGTGAAATGATTATAATTTAAATGTGATATTTTTGTCTTATTAATTTTTTAACGTATTTTATCTTTTTACAACCATTTTAACCTTTTAATCTCCCAAACCTTGAATGCCAAATTAGGGCAAAATTTTTATCAAATTTTGTGGCAAATGTTGCAAGTCTATGTGACATTTGGTAAAAGATTTAGAGTATAACTTGTAGAGAGAGTAAAGTTAGAGATATTTGAGGAACTATGAAAAAGGTTAATTTTTTAGTTTTTTTATTGTAGCTTTTTTTTTTTTTTGGAAAGCATGTAAAAAAATAAAGATAATGTGATCTAAAGAATCAATAAGTTAATAAATTAACTTTTTTCCTAGGCCTATTTTGAGAAGTGAATTTTTTTTTTTTTTTTTTTGTCTTATTTTAAACCTAAAAAAAAAAAAAAAAAAAAAAAAGATAATATATGTTGGTTGATTTTTGTTTTAAAAAACAGATATAGATGTAATAATACAGAGGTATGCAATCTCTACTACTGCTTTGTTCATGATTTTGGTGGTTTGAATTGTTTTTATATTTTAAGAACCATAAATTATAATACTTTATGTAGATGAGGTATGCTGTAATTGTAATATGTGGATGAGGCATGCTGTGATTGTAATATTCTAAAGTTTCAAACTTTCTTTTTTTGATGAGGCATGCAGTGATTGTAATATTTTTTTTAAGTCATTGACTATAATATTTTTTTATTTTTATTTTTTTTGAGGAAGTGTACAAGTTGAATTATATTGAAATTTATAAATTTTTAAACCGTCAAGCCGATTCGCATCCATCTGTCAAACTGTCAATCTGCTCAATCTACATTCGCTGAATTGGCGGACGGATGTGGATTAATTTTCTCCAATCCGCCAATCTGGCGGACGGATGGCGAATTTGAGGTTCCGTGGCCGCAACCAACTCGCGCCCATCCCTAGTTCTTACATAAGTGTCAATGTTCACCTTTTGTTATTTCATTGTTTAACTCTTTAACATAATCTATCATGTGATAAGAATGTAACCACGAAATGAGAGTAAAAGAGAAAAATCATTCACATTTCCCACCAATACACGTTTTGTCCCAAAAAATGCATTAAATCATGACTATATTAGGCTAAAACAAAGTGCAAATTGTCAACAATTTACAAGATGAACTAGGATTTTGCATAAACTGGAATCACAAAACTCGATTTTCCACATTAACATAGTCTTTACGAAACTCTCATATGGTTATCACGTAGGACAAAATGTGGATTGGTAGGAAATTAGGATGATTTTCCTTTCTTAATCTCATTTCGTAGTCACATTCTTGTCACATGTCTAGATTCTGTTAAAAATTTAAATAATGGAATAATAAAAGGGGAGACATTGACACTTGTGTAAAGACCAAAATGCGATTTGACCAAAAGTGTATGGGTTGATTATCACAATTTCATATGTAAGGACCAAACTAAAATTTGACAAGAAATGCAGGAGATTGACTATCATAATTTCTTATATAAGGGTCAAAATGAAATTTGATACAAAGTGTAATTTATCCGAAGTCAAATTTATTGTGAAAATAGGTACTCCTTTTTTCTTTTTCTCGATAGTTGTGGACAACTTTGCCCTTGCATACATTTATTTTTAGCTTGTTAAGTAAGGAAATCAAACATTTGTGTGTCATTTATAAAGAGAGATGTGGTTTATTGGGTGCTCCAATCTAATTCTTGTCCCTTAGTACATTGTTGTCATTCTAGTCTTGGCCCTCATACTCGTCATTGGTGTGAGAACCAGCATTTAATTTTTTAAAAAGAAAATAAATGAATAAATAAATTAATTAATTTTATCCAGAGTCTATCTAAAATATATATTAGTGTATAAGTTAGTTTCAAATTAACCCAATTCAATCACTAACAAAAGCATTATTAAGAATAATAATTTTATGGATGTTCAATATTTGTTGTTTATAAATTGTTTTAATAAGGATTCAACATGATAATTATCTTTGTTAAATAACTTAGTTAAAAGCCTTAGTGTATTAATTTTTAAAAAAATAAAAAATCTGAAATTTCAAATTTTCTGTGGCAATGAATGCCACATGTTTGCATGCATGCCATATAAGGACTATAACTCCACCATGCTTCTTGGAATTGAGATATACGAAATGACTACATAAAGTGATGGAGAGAGAGAGAGAAGGCTCAGTTGGTGAATTCATATATATATATATATATATGTTAGGTTTTTATTCTTAGCAACCCCGTTTGACAAAACTCCTTTAAGTTGTATTTGTTTTCGCACTTTTTATTTCAGTGAGGCTATGAGTGTTTAGATGTGAATCCAACCCGAATTGTGCCTTGTAGAGAAGTTTGTGATGTTAATGCTTTCAAGATTTCCGTTTCGCTGATTATGACGGGGATCGAGTTGCCCGGTCAGCTCGCGGGGGTCGAGGGGGCAGCGCCTCTTGGCGGGTCCGGGGCAGCGCCACGGCAGGGTCGAGGGGCAGCGCCTCTGAAGCAAAATGCAAAAATGCATTCCAAGTTGTCTGTCCGCTCGAGCGGAGAATGCTGAGTTCCAGAAGTTTAGTTCGCCTGCAAAAATACTGGATGTTGTTTTTTCCCGCTTGAGCGGAACTTTCCACGCTCGAGCGTAGGTCCGCTCGAGCGGCCAATCCGACGCTCGAGCGGAGATCGCGGGACAGTTTTCTATAAATACGTGTTTCAGTCCAATTCTAGGATTACACCTCCAGATCTTCTTCTTGGGTTCTAGGGTTTATATCTGGAGATATTTTGCTAGTTTTCTTTGATGTTTCATTGAGTATTCAACTCATGGTTTAAGAAGTATACATCAAAGGATTATTTGTTTGTTCTACACAAAAGAGAGAGTTGTTCTTCGGTGGATTCTGAAGAATTCAAGCCTGAAGCTTTGGTGGATTTCGGAGTGGTTCATGGTCAAGACAATTCCGAGGTGAAGACGGGGTTAGAAGAGACACATAGAGGTTGGTTCAATTCGAGCGTGGATTCACTAGGTAATTGAGAGTATACCTGTGTAATTCCTTTATATCTTCTTAGTGTACTGTTTTGTGGCTGTTGCCCGTGGTTTTTTATCACAGTTAGAGGTGCTCCAATTGTGGTTTTTTCACGTTAAAATCGTTGTGTCGATTTGTCTTGATTGCTTGATTAGAATTGTTATATACTGCTTAAAATTTATACATAATCACAAATCAACATCTAGGGGATTTCTAGATTTTTCAATATATATATATATGTGTGTGTGTGTGTGTGTGTGTAAATGTTGCTCCTCCAAATCAGTGAGGAGAGGAAAAGAAAAGGAAATCGGTGAGCAAGCTAGGCAGTAGGGACAAGAAGGAGAGGCGAAGATTAAGGAGTTGAAATTTTCCTACAATTTCACTATTCCATTTCAATCCTATAACTAAGTAAGAAAATCCTCTTAACCCTCTAATTTTTTTTAATTGATGAAATTTTCAGATTATATTCATAGGATAAAATGACTAACCTTGTAGATAGAATTTTATTTATAGTTGTATGTAAATTTATGATTTGTACGTCAAATATTTGAAGATATTGGTAGTCTTAAAATCATGAGAATATTGTGGAATTTGGACTTGCATGTGTAATTTATGCCATTCAAAAGATTATTGAATATTTTATTTGGCCCTTAAATCTGTCAGAAAATTGTACGAATTTTTAGATAATTTTATACTCAAAATTTTGAGATAATTTCTTCTACAAAGTTGTTTATAATGATGTCTACTTCATCCAGAAATTTTTGCAACAATTATTGAATTTTGTACGAATTTATACAAAATTTTAACCAAATTTGGAACTATAGGCAGATTTTACTATGTGTTTGAAAAATTATTAAAAATTTTATATTACACAAAATCTGGTAATTTCCAAATAAAA